GAACCGCCCCGTCCCCTGCCCCAGGTAACCGAGCTGGCACGCCTGGAGGGCGGGGCGCGCGCCTCCGGAGACACCTGGCCTGCTGCTCCACTCCGCCTCCCCCAACCCCCTCCCCGCAATCTACCCTCCAATCTAGGGGTACTTCCTCCACCGCTTCCCAGTCCTGCCTGCCAGCGCCCTCCTGGGTCCCCGCCCTCCGCGACGTGGAGCCAGCAGGCAGGCTTCACCACTGGGTTCAAAGTTGCACCACAGGGGCCAAGGACTGGGCCCAGATGGGCACCAGAGCCAGGCCCCTCCACAGGCCAGAGCCTTGGTCCCGGGGGGGGAGTCTGGAGACAGGATCCCTCTAAGCTCTAACTCTGGGACGCCAGCGGTAGCCCTGACCGGGCTTGGTGACCTGAGAAGGATAGACTTGGCATATTGGAAATGTGATAAAGACCTTGGTACTAACTCCAAAGTCAGGGGTTCTAAGCCACCAGCCGCTCAACAGGCAGAAGATGAGGCTATGTGGGATCACTCTGAATCAGAATCAGCTCAATGGCTGTGGGTAATGGAGGGAAGGCAGGGAGTTGATTCCAACCAGGAAGGACAGGGGCACAATGCTGCTAACTGAAAGGGGGTGGGTGGGGAGTAATCAACCCTAAAGAGGCAGTTCTGTTCTGCCTTTTCCAGGAGTCAAAATAAACTTGAAAAGTAGGTTTGGGGTGTGCCTCTCCCCACCCCAGTGTTGTTTTTCATTTGTTCCTTTGTTGTTGATATGCAGGTCAGTGAGACAGACTTCCTCTTGCTGTTGTGAGGAGCGAAACACACTTAGTGGTATGAGATAAGACAATGGTATGAAATAATGTCCTGGAGGTCAGAGGTCTCAATCGGTTCTCATTGGACTGGGAGGTTCTGGAGTAGAAGGTTTCCTTGGGCTTACCAGCTTCTGCATTCTTTGGCTTCCTGGCTATATCACTCGGACCTCTGCTTCCTTTGTTAACCATCCTTTTCGGAATCTGACCCTTCTGCCACCCAGTTCCTTTCATAAGCACCCTTGTGCTTAGTTTGGGGCCCACCCAATAATCCAGGATCTTCTCCAGCTCAAAAATATTTGATTGAATCACAGCTGCAATATCACTTTTCCATGGGGTCCCAGATGTGTTTGGGTTGAATTAAGCCCATCTCTAAACTGAAATCAAAGGATCCCTGGTGGTGTCGTGATTATACATCGGACTGCTAACCACAAGGTCAGTAGTTCAAAACCACCAGCCTCTCTGAGAGAAAGACAGGGTTTTCTACCCCCGCAAGCAGTTACAGTCCCAAACTCACAGAGGCAGTTCTACCAAATCAGCACCAACTCACGGACAGTGAGGTTTGGTTGGGTTTTGGTTTGTTTTGGTGTGTTTTAATAAACTGAAATCCGTTCCCTTCTGACCTGGCATGTGAATAGCCTTGCTAACATGCAGAATGCATCGGAAATTTCTCATCCTATCAGTTGATCTTCCTTATGATCCATGTAAATTTGTTCTAGTTTTTCATATTGTTCTGCGTTCCTTTCGATTGAGGTTTTTAATCTGTTTTATTTTGTTATTCTTATTAGTTTTTGTTTTTGCTTGTTTTTTAATGGTTTTGTGTACATGAAATCTAACATAAATCTGTAGAGACAGTAACTGGATTAATGATTCCTTGGGAGTACGGCAGGGGAGGTTGGGGGAAATGGGGAGCTAATAACAATGAGCACAAGAAGGAAGACAATGTTCTAAACCTGATTGTAGTGATAATTGTATAACTCTTTTTGATGTGATTGAACTATTCAATTATATGATCCATGAAATATATGCTTATAAGTCTGTTGGGGAAAAACTAGTACGGACAAAAAAATCAGTTAAAACATATATATATAGTAGTAAAAATACTGATGATACACTTAGCTTAGATCCTATTCAGAGATTGCTCTGGTGGCGTAGTGGGTTACACGACACCAACTACAAGGTAGTGGTTTAAACCTACCAGCTGCTTCTTGGAAACAATTTGAGGTTTTGTATTCCTATAAAGGGTTACAGTCTTAGAAATCTAAAAGGTGCAGTTCTGTTCTGTCCCATAGGTCACCATAATTGGAATAGTCAATGGCAGTGAGTGTAGTTTTGAGTTTGAGACCCAATTCAAGGGTCCCTGGTGGCACTTTCAGGTAAGGGTTGGACTTCAAATCGCAGGTTCAAACCCACCAGTCACACTAGCACAGTGGTTCTCAACCTGGGGGTCGAACAACCCTTTCACAGGGGTCGCCTAAGACAATCGGAAAACACATAAATATTTCACAATATATAATTACATATTGTTTTGTGATTGATCACTAAGCTTTAATCATGTTTAATTTGTAATAATGAAAATACATCCTGCATATCAGATATTCACAATATGATTTATAACAGTAGCAAAGTGACAGTTATGAAGTAGCAATGAAAATAATGGTATGGTTGGGGTCCCCACCACATGAGGAACTATATGAAACGGTGGCGGCATGAGGAAGGTTGGGAACCACTGACTGCTCTAGCAGAGGAAAGCTGGGGCTTTCTACTCAACTCTGGGGTCGCTTTGAGTCACAAGTGCCTGGAGGGCAGTGGTTGATTACGCAGGACCAGACAGTGCATTTCATTCTGTTGTATGTAGGCTTGCTATGAATTAGAACAAAGTTGATGACATCTAGCCCCACCACCACCGCGCAAAGGACACAGGGATGTTTAACCTATTCAAGAAAAACAAGCCTCGTTCTTGGAATCAAGGCCCTTAGTTCAATAAACATTTGTTAACTTCTTCCAGGAAATTTGTTAGACACTCATTAATAACAGTCCCTGCCAGAAAAAAAAGCTACAGCCAGCATGCCGGGGCTATCATAAGGGCAAGAAGGACTGAGAATTGTGGAATAGAAAGGAGGGGCACTTTATGGGAGGCAAGGAGAAACCATGCTTTCAGGAAGAGGGCCAGCCCGAGTTGAATCTTGAGCTATTGATTCAGTGTAAATCCAGGATAGATTTTGTTTCAGGGAACAAATTAGTGTTTAGGAAAGTATTTGCAAAATTGCAATGCCACTCTAATCTCAGGCTGTCCCTGCCACATCACCACACACCCTTATGCTTGTTGACATTGGCTATATACATTATATACTATGTTTATAATAATGTTCTTCAAATGGTGGTGTCATTTGCCTTTTAAAGAGTCGTCAGTGGGAACCAGAGCCCTTGGGTGCTGGCTGGGTGGCATCTTAGGCACGGCTCACATGGATTGAGTGCGTGCCCTATTAAATGATGACAACAAGAAGGATCGTAACTTGTCATACGCCTTTAGCAAAGGACTTGAAAATCTGAACACTTGGGAGGACAGGGATGAAGAGGATGGGGGGTGGAGGTTTGGAGGAGTGGGAGATGGGGCATGGGGAAGGAGAAAGAGGAGCACGGGGTCCTTTCACCAGCATAGTTCTGGCCTGCTGGACATGAATAAGACGGTTCCAATCAGTTCGTCTTCCTCTAGACACTACACATAAAGCAATGTTTAAAAAAGTAAGCAAGGGGCTCTCACTGGGACTTGATGTGATCACATTCACGAGGCAACAGCAAGTTCGCTTCAACCCTGAATCCACAGAGCCATGGCCACCTGGGTGTGAGATGACCAGTCACCTGTTTCTCTTTCAGTTTGGCTTTGGGTGGCTGCCACCCTGGACTGAACTGTGTACTGTTGCTCAGCCACTCCAAGTGGCTTTTTCCACCTTTACTCTTCTCACAAAGGCTTTCTTGTTTGCTTAAATGGAGGGGTGTGTATGTGTGTGTGCAAATACAAGAAAAGATCGGCACCAATCACATCTCCTTCGACGCAGTTAGGGATGTCCATCGGAGTGCACCCAGGACACAGCCAACAGCGTATAGCTCAAAAGGCTGGCCCTTTAGGCCCAAATCTCGGGAAAGGTCCCCTAGCTCTTATTAAGTGGAAACGGCCATGACAAGACAAAGCAAAAGGAGAAATAGCAAGCAGGGGATTTCCCTCCTCCTGACTCTAGAGCGACGATTCGCCTGGGGTGATTTGGCCTCCTAGAAGGTATTTGGCAATATCTGAAGAGGGCTGGGGCAGTCATGACTTCAGGGAGGGGGATCCGTGTTACTGGCATCTAGTGAGGAGAAGCTAAGGGTGTTGCTAAACATCCTACCCTGCACAAGACAGCTCTCTGCCACAAGAATGTATTCGAGCAAAATGACCAGAGTGCCAAAATTGGGAAATCCTAAAGTAGAATAAGAGCAAACATCTGGCTTGGAGACAGTTCTGCCAGAATGCTCTTTAGAAGCTAGGATGGCCTAAGACTTCGTCTCGCGTACTTCAGACATGCTCTCAGGAGAGAGCAGTCCCTGGAAAAGGACATCATGCGGGGTGAAATAGAGGGGCGGAAACAAGAGGAAGCCCCTCAACCAGATGGACTGAGACAGCGGCTCCAACATAATGATAATTGTGAGGATGGTGCAGGGCTGGCCGGGCAATGTTTCAGTCTGCTGAGCATGGGGTTGCGACTGAACCTACTCTCTGGCACTTAACAGCACACAACAACACGCTAGAGTACTCTTAACAATCTTTTGTATTTTCATCCTTCCCACCTCTGTA